CCAATGAATGGTTTATCGTATATATCATCTTGTTTTTCTTCCATAAATTCCTCTCTATAAACTTCGAAGAAAAACAGATAGGTATTTTCGTCTATAAATCATAATCAGAATATACTACGATGTTCACTAAATATACGATGCTATTTTTATAAACAATCTTTTTTTTACATTTATCGAAAATATTTGACATAAACTCTATTTTTTCTGTACTTAAAAGATTTGCACTAAAATAATTCGATCTCCAATTAAAAAAAGCATCCCGTGGGAATTAATTCTAGTCAAAAAGTGAACATTAATTCGTAATGTAATTAGGGATAATTTTCCAACTTTGGAAGATATATTTTGTAATTCAATAATAAATTGAAAGAGATTCATTAAAGATATGAGAAAAATTACCAGCAGATTTATAAAAATTATGTGGATAAGAACCAAAGGAAGAGGTATTTATAATAAAGGATATCGAGGAGGAGGAAGGGGGGGTAGGATACTTTACAATTTCTTTTGTTCGCTCTGCGATTAACGATGTCATATCCTGTTAAATTTGCGTGGTTTCTTACACTTTAATACGCGCTAGAAATCAAGCGCAACGGCGACGGCGAGTAGACATGATCGCTTTTGTCCACGAAGAGTTTTCTCCGCTGATATCGAGGAACTATTGGACCGAGCCAGATTAATAGTCCGCTATCCAATACAGAAGGTTCGAAAGATCGGCGGCTAGGTGGGCAAAGGGGATGAACCGATTCGGCTCACGTAATGCTCGTTACACGTCGGACGATATTAACGAGCGCCAAGAAGGGCGGAACTTTCGTGCCATCGAAAACGTGAATCGGAAGCGGACGCACCGTCTCGAGAATCGAGACGATCTTTCGCAACGTCGCGGGGACGTTGGACCTTACATATTTTACAAACGCGATGCGATGGCTTACGATCATATCGGCCGATTTTTCGATGAAAACTAACCTGTGCTACACGCCACAGGAATTCACATCTTGGCACTGTATGAAGTATCTCGGAACCTCTTTTAGTTCCTGCATCTTTTTACTTTTAATATTATCTTTTTAATTTAATCGGTGAATTAAAAATTTACCACTCGAAATTGGTGTAATGTTCTTATTTATTTATACTATTTTTTTAGTTATACTATTCTTATAGGTGAAGAGTTGCTTGATCATCTAAGAATGTCTTGTTATAAAAAACTTTTTTTACTAATTTTGCTAAATATTTTGTAAGTGAAGAATCGATATATAACTTTTCTGGCAGATAGAAATACTGTATTCCAGTATTCAATGTTAAATGCATTTCCATCTTCAGTATTTTTGAATTCTTAATTAATTTGTATTGATCCCGAATATGTTCTAAATTTATCTCGATAAATTTTAAAGTAAACGTTGCAAATATTTAATACTTGTCCCAAGAAAACTGGCTTGCCAGATCGACCGTTTTAATTCTGTGTATTGGCAATTAAATCTTAAATTATATTTCCATCCCGCGAGATACAGCACGTTGACGATAGTCAACGGACTTCCGTTATATTTTGTTACATTTCGTAACTCTTCGTTATACTTTTTTTTGTCATTAGTAGTTTCCCTGCTGTGGAATTTAAAAGAAAAGTACACGCGTATTTCCAGAACAGTTCTCGTCGTTTCTCGTTTTTCTTTGCCTTGCGCATTTCCGCATTCCCATTACGATGGTCCTTTTTATCATGGCGCATAATACCACGATCGCGTATAACACCACTCTCCATAACTAAGCCCATCTACAACACGATGGGTAGTCGAGTTTTATTTTTATTATAGCTTTGAGTGTGACGCTTTATTATTGCGCGACTTTGTTCATACATATACATGCGGTACCGTTGAACACGCGACGCGAGCGCAACCTCTCGCGACCCAGAATAAATTGAAATATTTTACACGAATTTCTCACATATATGTGGTTACATGTCTCTAGTCCGATCTGACGCCTCTCTTTTCGCGATGTCCACATTTTCTCGCCCCGTATCGTGAGCGGTGCAGTTTCACTTTAGTCCTTTCTCGGAGAGCGACGATACGATTCCTTCACGGTCGAACGAGCAATTCCCTGTAAACTCAGTTACCTCCGACAATTCAATACGCCATGTTAACGTACGTGGTGTACGGTTGAGCTTCTCCTATCGGTGTAAATGTCATCAAACGATTTTTCAATTACCAGATGCTGTCTGATAATCGTACGACGCTCATTGAAAGTCCTCCTGCCTTTTCAATCAGATTGAGAGATTTAATACTAACCAAATGAGAACAATGTACGTTTATGATTACACATAAAAAATATAGATAAATTAAAGAATAGCATTAAAAATCTGGAATACTATCAATATTAAAATATTATTTATGATATTTATTACTTTTGGATCCACAGATATATGAAAAATAATGAGATAAAATCTCTCTGTTTTACAGTTTATTTAAAAATTAACAACAAATTTCTTTAACATCAAAGGTGATTCAGACTTCATTTAACAATACTTTGCGCGTCGTTAAAATAAAAGACAAGAAAATTCTAGTTTTCATAATTTGGAAAATTTTGTAATACTTAAAATATTAAAAAGGGTACACTTGACGTACTCAACCACAAAGCGTACTACGTCAAAGCAAGTATGTAGTCGTAAAGGTAATTGCGTTTTACAGCTTGTCCTGTTGCGCACAACACAAAAGGATCTCGACTATAGATATTAAAATGTAAGACAAGAAAACGGAGAGACAGAGAGAGAGAGGGGAAGTTTATGTAGTTATCCATCTTATTTTTTATCTTGCTTCATATAAAGTGTTGACACTAAACATGGGCAAACTTGATGGAAAGAAAAATTGCAATATCATAAGATCAAGAAAATTACGCTAAAACAGAATCTTTCATGCTTAAAAAGAATAGTTTATAAATGCAAATAAATGATGCTTTTTAAAAATTCTGTACTTTCTATGCTTTTTATATTAAATAAGATTGAGCGAGTATCAAAGAATTTGATTCATACATATTTACAAAGTATTCTACTTGCTAAAGTTTCTTTGTTATCTTTCAGGTTCATGAATTATGTGAGAAATCCTCTTTTCCATGTATTATATACAAGTAAAGCGGTTTTTATATGTATGTGTATTGATTATATAAATTGCTGCATACAAAACCGCATTATGTGATAACGTCTTAAACATTACTGTTTTATATTGTCGGTAAAGATTGAAGGGATTGAAACTGAACGATGAATATAGCTCCTGTCAAACATGGTTAGTCAAAAAAGAAATCGATAGATATGAATTTTGCAGCAACTCGATTTTCCCGTTTCATGGACATGTAATCACATCAGCCGATCACCGATATCGCGTGTCCATTAAAACCCGTCCTTTTTCAATGAACGTATCGCGACCTATATCCATCGCGTCACGACAGCGCGGGATGCATCGCCCTCGTGCAATCTCTTTTCGCAAAGATCTCTGAATTCAGCCTCATCTACTGTAATATAAAGAGTAGATTGGCGCCGCTAAATCTTTGTGGAAAGCCGTAAAACTTGAGCGCTCCCGCGTACGTTGTTGAGCACAATGGCGGTCTATGATATACGATGCACATTCCCTTGCACGCGTATATACGGAACCACACCGGGTCCTGATAGTAGGTATACCCAGGTCCATTTTTTGCCAAGTCTATATAAAATAGGACAAAGGATTGATAAACATATGATGGGGACTCTTGGTAGTTTTTGTTTAAATTATCTCTTACACGATTGTACATGACTTCGATTGTAGTAAAGAGAAAGAGAGAAAGAGAGAGAGAGAGAGAGAGAGAGAGAGAGAGAGAGAATTAATAATTTTTTTAAATATATTATCTTAAAAAGAAAATATAAATTCTTTTAAGATAATTATTTTTTTATATTATAATATCATAGATATAACTATATCTTTTTAAAAAAAGCTTTATCAATTCTTTTGCTTTAAAAAATATATATGTAAATATAATAAGCGCAAGCATAACATTTATCCTATTTCCAATAATTTTAGAAATAATAAAAAAATTTGTTCACGAATATAATAATTTTACGGCGTTGTACGTCATCAGAGTCTACAAAGACGTAGACTCCAATTCTTAATCTTCGATTCTTTATGGATTATACAGCAAATAATATTTTTCTTTGACGAACAAATGTTTTTATTGCTGGCGACAAAGCAGCTGGTAAAGCTTGTGCGTTAAACTCCTTCTCGGGAAGACCGTTTTCGTTTATCGAGCGACGAGACAAATATTTTTGAAACGAAGTTTGCTCATCGTTCGCGGTTTCGTTTGCGAGAGAACCGATAGTTTTCCCGCCGCTCCGATTTCTATAACCTGCGTTAGAGCAAATCTTTCGTTCCCTTCTCTCACTACGTATGCTCGAGCGAATCGAAGATTTTTCCATGAAATTGGTATCGTAGATCAGGTCGAAAGCTCCACTTTGTTTGACCCGGAGGCTCTCCAACCTGTTACCCGGCATCCCGGATATATCGACGTTTAAGACATATCTGCAGGAGGTCGCCTTCGAAAAATTTATCGGGTACTCGCGATAGATTTCGAGATTTGTCTCAAAATTCATCGTCCATGACGTATCGCCGCGATGTGGCGGTCTTCAATTCGATTTATTTGCATGTGTCTGCCATCGAATTCGAGTTTTATTGAATGATTTATCGAAACAGACGTGAACATAAATCTAGGTTTAAACTAATCCATTGCTGTTAAAATATTTCGCATTTCGGGGATTACATATATTCTTTACTTCTATGACTATTCGTTTGCTTTCATGCACACTTGTCACATATTTGTCGATTTCTCAATTCCACTTTTACATATATAAAAATTACTATACAAAGACATAAAATTTAACAATTATTTTATAAGTGAAGTGCTCTTTATGAAAACAATATGTTCAATAAAATATTCAATAGAAATCGAGAAATAATAACGCTGAATTACAATGGGAGGACATGAGAGGGCATCTTACTCACGTCAACTTTAACACCATTGACGTCATAGACGTGGGGATTTTTATCTCGGAGTACGTATTTGTAGAATACCTCGTGGTCCTTGTACCATGTAATACCATAGAGGTGGTCTCTCTCCCGATCATATCTGAAACAGGAGATTGAGCAGGACATATTATTAAATGTACTTTGCAGATGTTTGCTGAATTAGTAAAGACATCTGAGACACCGTTCTACGGACAATTCAGAATCCCTTACTATTACGATATTCTCAATGTATCAAAATACTGCGTTTCGCGCTTTGTTTTACCATGCATATAGATATAATATATATACTACACAGTTATGATATTAAGAAATGTTAAATATCAACTAAATACAAAATATTCAAAAAGCACAAAACCAAATTATATTAAAGTAACACATGGATATGTTGATAATTCAACTCAAAATTTTAACAAAATTTTAATACAAACATAAAATGATTTTTACTATGTATTGTGCTTTTGAATACATCGCAAATTATATTGATAACATACATTAATTAAACATAAATATTAAAGTTTGTACATAACACATTATCTAGCTATTAGTCCGTTTGCAACAGAAACATGTTTGATAATTCTAATTTGGTAAGGCTGTTATTTTATTTGTGCGTTAAATAACTTCTACTAAAATTGAACATTTATGTATAGGTATATTAAAACAGATTATATAATATAATAAATTATTTTAGGTTACTGACCTGCCGTGACCTTTCAAACATTTATGTAAATGATTATAAACTTGATCAATATCTAATCAGACGATTTTTATCCGTACAACTTCTTTTTAGAATTTAAAATTAGCTTATTTTTGTTATATATTTTACTCGCATTAACTTTAATTTTTCCGTGAAAAATAGGTTCCATCGATAAACATCAAATAACTTTTCCACATAATAAATTGTTCGCAATAAATTGTTCACGAATGTAAAAATAAAGAAAGCGTTTCAAATTTTCAAGTAGTCATTATTTTTTGCTTTTAAAAGTTGAAACTTCCAGTGTACGTGAGAAAAACAACAATTAATTTTTTTCTGTAACAGTTAAGTTTTTAATAAAATCCAAGAACTGTTTACCAATTATATTTGGCAAGCAGTTACGAAAAGTTTTTTTATCACAAGAGTTTTATCACATCAACTAAAATCTAAATTTTTATAATAATTCAGTTTTATTAACACGCATGAAAGAGTTTATGCACGCGCCGACACTTGATTCGTTATCTAGAACCTTCATCGGAGATTGGCGGTGAGGTTCTCAGTGCTAATAGTATGGGTACCTGCACGGGCCAACCAATGCGCCTACTCTGCTACTGAAAGGCGCCCCCATCCTATTCACAGGCCGCTTTTATCGTGGACGCAATTTACGTATCCACGGGCTAATCGGTTCTGCGGTTCATTCGGTACAATAGAGACGAGTCGTGGAAACGAGCGAATACTGACGAGCTGGGAATAAAAGTGAAATGAACGCGCGTCCCATTCGTGCTCCGGCTTCAGATCGTATCCTTAATTGGTCCTCGTTCGATTATTTCTATCGTCGAATCGCGCTATTAATTGAAACAGTCCTTTCTCGCTTTTGGTAGTAGCACTGTCCCTGAACCTCGAGTCTTTAACATGCTGCTTATTGCTGTACGATTAACAGATCCCCATTGAGCGTTTAGAGCTTGGGACATCTGTGGCCCGTTCGATATCTCTTTATTAAATTTTAATAGCTTTGCGGAAGCAATTTACATAGACGTTACATATTCACATTTGCGGTGAGCAATACATTAACATTTCGAAATTTACTAATTCCGTGTGATAAAATATTAATCGTATAATTGCGCCTTATGGTGTGGATACTTAAACTGACACATGAGAGAGTATTGCTCGAGATTGCGAAGATGAAGCGTACAATTTTAATGACGTCACAGTGTTTCTACACCCTAAAAAATATCGATGTGGATTTAAAACCCGTGGTGTTAAATATCGTGTTGATATCAACACTAGCACAGCATGGTGTTAAATTCATACCAATATATTTTAGAGTGCATGCATCCACTAAACTTTCGAGAGAATACAAATATAGATTTTTGGTAGGTGACTGTAACGACGGATCACAAATGTCATAAAATGTCATTGATATGAAAGAGGGGAAAGGGAAAGAGGGAGAGTGTGTCGTTTGAAAAATCGCTCGAATCAGAAGCTTTTTACGATCGTCCGAAACAGACGGGTCCTAGAGGCATCAACCATAAACGCGATTTTTCCGAACTCGCGAAACGTAGCTCGTATGTTGTTTTAACGTGATTACGTTCGGCAGGAAGGATCGAAGAGACTGTTCGCGTGACAAGACTCGAATGTAGAACGAGTACTATTGCAATAATTGATCGATATCCATGATCAGAGCACACGGTCGCGGTAGTCCGTCATTTTGCTAATCGCAGATTACCCTTGATGTGTTCGGAATACATCAAATAAAAAAATATCAGTTACCTGCATCGTCATTTTTGTTAAATAACGTGTATTAAATGGCATATAATAGGTAATTCTCTCTTACTGCGTTAATTGTGTAACGTTTAATAACTAATAAAATAGAATTTAATATTTGAACCGAAGATTAGATTATGATATTCTTACGTATTTCAACGCTCTAAAATCCGATATGCAAATTACTTAACATCACAATTTTTTTATTCATTAAAAATAGTTCAATTTTTCAGTATTTTTTAGAGCCATTTATAGTCTGGTTTTTTTAATATGTAAACTGAGGTAAAAAAAAAAGAGAAAATAAGTTTTTAACGATGCAAACTTAAAATTAATATGCAAGTTAGTAGGTTAAAAATACTGGAAAATTGCGAATTTACAATAAAAAAATTAAACATGATGGAGCAGTGTGGACATTGGTTTCAGAGTATCAAAATACATACATAAGAATATCGTGATTTAATCTCCGAATCAAAAAATTGTTTTGTATGCTTTTGTGTAATCGTTATACGCTGTGTTTGCATGTTCGTAGTAATCGATAATTCTATACATGAGAGTATTTTACGCTGATCTTTGGATACGTTACACTAAAAAAAATACATAGAAATTATTAAAGTTATGAGACAAAATTTGTTACGATATCTATGTGTATAATTAACTACGAATTAAAGCAAGAAGCTACAGCATTCGAATAACAAATTAGTCGCGAAACCGAGTAACAAATTCGTCTTCATATCTATGTTCATTCGCAATTAAATTCCATCTTTGATATTATGTTCGGAACGATTGATCCGGTCGGAAGAGGTACCTTATTCGACGACCGTGCATTTGTCGTTTTCGCTATAATCGCCCTTCTAGATAGCCTTCCCCACTGTTCCATCTCGTTAAATTGCATTTCAATGGAGTTTCTCGGTCATGCTCCGATAAACCTTTTGAGCGGTTAGTTCGCCGGTTAGGACAAAGGGAATCGCTTCTTCGACCCCGTCATCGCCATGTTCTTACGAGTGACGCGTTTGCAAAAGTAACCGCATATGCCCTCTCTCCAGACTCGCATCCGATCCATCTATATTCATCAAACGGACGTCATTAGAAAGTTTACGAGATATTCTATTAATATGATCTTATCTGACAAATGATTTTAATGGGAGAATTAAGTATCTCTGAAGTGAATATCGGAACATTTGTTGAATTTTTCTTGGCACAATTAGTTGAAATCACGATTAAAAGTGAGCGTGTCAGAAAAGTTTAAAAGCAGCTTGTAATTAAAGATTTTATCTTGCAAAAAAGAAAAACCGCGAAATAATAGCGGCACCATGAGATCAATCTCAGAAAAGCTGCTCTCTTTAAAGAAAGAAACGCGAACCAATTAAGAATTTGATAAAATAAAAATTAACATATATAATTAAAATAATAATACATCTAAGAATAAAACCAAAAGTGTGACGGTAAAAAAATGAAAAGTAGAATTATTAATACACGTATATCTCATATTTTCTAGAAATATATTTTTTTAGATAAATTCTCGTATTTTGTTATTTTAAATCTTTGAACAGGTTCCCTCAAACCACTCTTGAAATAATACCGCTTTATTTGCCGTGACAATCATATAAAGCCAAATTTCACGAAATCTGATGAAGACATAAGAATGAATAAAGAAAGAACTAACTTTAAACGTCAAAGTCTTGTCCAGAGCGATGAGATTTAAAACACGGGTTTCAGAAATAAGACGATCTTCGCGAATTTCGTTCTTAAGCTCTCAAGTCTTACTTAAAAATATCCGTTCTGCCATTCGGAGCAAACTTGTTCCATTTTTGCGTTTTTTCCAGCGCGCAACGAACTATCGCGAAAAGCGACAAAAACTAGCGCAAGAAGATACGATGTGTATTAAGGTGGTGTGTAAAGGGGCCGTCTGGTGATTGCCACCGGCCGTCTGGCATGTATTGCGTCGTTTCAGAAATGTGGCAGAGTACGCCAACGCAGAGCCGTGGTTCGCACTGAGAGGCTCCGCGAGAGCAAGCGAAGTCGTGTTACTACAGGTAGCGTCGGGGAAACGTTTATTCCCCGAAGAGGATCGCGCAGGAGGAGGCGGTTCTCCGGGTCGCGTCGGACACGTCGGACGCGATAATGCACGCTCCGCTGCAATGTCGGTCTCATTGCGCCGTTGCACCGTTGCAGTGACGTACCCTAGGGGGGCATTCCGTGGGGCTGTGTGTTGGTGGCGGTAACGCCGCACCACCAGCACGTGCAGCAAAGCCCTGGAAAAGGGATTGCCGCATTCGAGCGTAGGTGCACAATTTCGAGCGCCGCGTCGTGGGATTGATTTGCATTCTCCGGCTCATTTGCTGGGTCGTGTCCTGCGGGAATTCTTTGCTCTTCCACTCCCTCACTCTCTTCCACTCTGCTTTCGCGCATCTTCCTCCGCTTCTCTTCGTTCAGCTTCCGTCTTCCTTCCTCCCTTCATTGCCTATGTACTTATATTCTTCCAATTCTTTGCGCGCTTGTCAATTTTAATGCCTTTCTTCTACAAATATAGACTGTATTTTTTGCGCGAACCATCATTTGTCGTCTTTTATTGCTACCTTTTATTCGAGCTTCCATTTTATCTTCAATTTTATACATTTTTTACTATTGTCGATATAAAAGTAAGTTCTTTCTTTCGAATTATTGACATATTTTAATATAAAATTGGTCAATAAGCAAATTTCTTATTCAATTGAAAAATTAATAATTTTAATATCATTATCCTTATCTTGTCCTATTTTTTTCTTCATTCTCAAATATGATTGTAGTAATATCAGGTAATGTGCAATTTTAATTTCAGTTAAATGTATCCTCGGTATTTAAATTTTATTTAGCAAATTTGTTTATTATTAATTAAAGTAATATTATATTTTTTGCATAAAATAACGTTTAATATTATATGGGCATTAAATGTATAATGTATATCTTTTTATTTTAAAAAGTTACAAAATGCAATACATGCTAGCAGTTGCGCTCGTACGTAGTAAAATTTGAAATCAATTTGCAATTTGATAAACGCGAAATCAAGTTGCACCGAGACTGTTCGGGCTAGTAAGATCGAGGAAAATGTCACAATGATGAATGAGATTCGCGGGGCAATCGAGGCGAAATTCAACGATTAGACAGCGCGAGAATGGAGGTCTGTGGAACTTGTAATAGGAAATTCTCTGTGGTGAAATTATACAGAGGAAGGAGTGCGTGTAATGTTGAAACCAACGTGTAGCGATGAATCTTCGTTTGGGAAGGATATACCCAATCATAAATTTTAACTGCGCGCTATCAAGGTGCGAAAATACTAAAATACGTACTCGCATTTTACTTATACAAAAACTGTCAAAATTTAATATATAATAATAATAATAATAATACAGCTCAGAAAAGGAGAGAGAAAACAGGAAAATTAAAAAATTCCTTTGCCACAAGACAATCATATTTTACGGTCTCTTTGGTTATGTATATAGATATAGCTTCAAATTCCTCGTTCAAACATGCAGAATGTCCAATAATTTAACTAATGGCAAATTAGCGGTACACTGCTTCAAAGCTTTGTCATATTAAATAAACATGTTGGGAATATTAATTAAAATGAGGCAGTCAATCTGGCGGTAACTTATGCGCATCTACACAATAGAAGTACCTATATATACAAACGTGACAATAATTTCGATCGTATGATTTTCTACATATTATCACTAATGGATATGCGATTAGTATAATGAAGGTTTATTAATATTATACAATCGCGCGTGTTATCTCTCATTTTAAGATGTATGTATATCATGCTACCATAAATGATAAAGCAGGGTTTATATACTAGTATCTGTCTATGATTACCTGCTTTGTTGCACGCATGAGATTTTAATTGTACCTGTATATACAATTATGCTGTTATTATTGAATTGTGACTACATAAACAGTTATTTTGTTATTTAATTATATTTAAATATTTCGACGCAAAATTAATGTAACTTGGCATAAATACTCGAATGGGAATTCTTCTTAAAAAAAATATATAAACAGTACTATTGTTACCTGACATTCTCATTCGAGGTTTCCTAACTAATTTATATATCTGTAGAATTTCTAGAAAACCGATAATGAAAAGGTTGTGACTAGTCACAAGCGCGTCACGAATAAATTTCGTTTCCAGAGAAGTGAGATGCATGCGCGAGAAATTGCTGCTATGGAGATGACAATATAAACGTCGAATAAACCGACCAGAGAAGTTTGTGTCGAGCGAACTATAATTTGTAATTTATGTGTATATCACACAACATATTTCAATATAATCGTGCTCTATTTAGAACATTCATTTGCATCGCATATGTGATGTATTCTGTTACCGTATGAAAAAATATATAATTAGCAGTTTATAAATATATAATATTTTTTGATTACTTTTTATGTTACCCCACTAAACGATACTACCCGCAGAACAAAAACAGTAACACATTACATAAATGTTATAATTTTTATTCAACTATATTGCTGAGAGGAAAATTATAATATTGATGTAGTGTGTGTGTATGTGTATGTGTGTTACCGTTAATATTCTGCGAATATATTATCGTTCATTTCTTGGTTTAGTTAATTAATCAATTCTGAGAATATATATATATATCTCCCAAAGTACAAATCGCGACCCAAAATATTGAAAAATAGAAGCAATATAGTAGAGTCTAATAGATAAAATTATTAATCTTTTAAACTATAACTTTTAAATTAACTAGTAGTTTTTTGAACATGGCCGGAGACACTACCGCGTCTCTTGATAATTAATTTATCTATCTCTCACTTCATTTTTAAAAATAGATAGGTCACGGATGTTTGTCGTTTTAAAAAGTGGGTCGCGATCTTTATAAGTTTGAATAACTTTCAATTAGTTACAGTATAGAATGTATACATCTATGTATATGAGGTATGCATATTTGATGGTTTAAAAATGAAAGACTCGTTAAATATTGTAATAATTCTCAAAAGAGAAGTCTTTCTTAAGCATTTATTATCTCAATGTACTTTGTGCATTTTAAATGCTTTATTTTTCTTAAGATAAACCAAAATATTCTCGTGCAAATCAAAAACACTCTTTTTTTAAATATCTTTCTCATATGTCCTCAAATAATAAGATAAGGTGCTGTTAGGTAAATTAAATTTTACTATCGATCGTCACGAACGTTATTACAAATTGCTCCAGCAAGTACCTTCTACGAGATCAAGTTACGTAAACGCCTGGTCTTTCTGCAAGGGTCCTTCCAAAGTACCTATCTCTACACACGGTGTATCGTGATTCAAAAGTCCTAATTAAGTACGCAACATTAGGTAAGAGTTTGCGAATTTGTACGGAAATCTGAAAGCTTCGTTATATCTTTGCAGTTTGGAGAAGTGAAACGTCAATATCACCACGAATCTCTCTTCGCTGAAAGTTTCTGCCTCTGACAAAATAATTCCAAGTAGAGCATATGGTCGCGTTTCCTCGAGATACTTGTGTATCTTCACAGTGAAGATACGAAACTTCTCAGTTAAATTAAACGTATCAAATCAATATGAATTACATTGCGTCGGAAATATATTACTTGTGATGAAAGAGAATACTTTAAAATATAAATTAAATAAAGCAATTATTGGAAACCTAATTGACTCGAGTTGATTAAATTATTACTAATTTAAAGTATTTATGTTCATTTTTTCATTGTAAAATGAAAATCTCGTAAAAAAATAATATGTCCTCGTATCATCTTTTAAATCAATAATTTTACATTAAAAGTTATAAATTATAGGATTATATATACATAGTAGAAGATTTGGCTATAAATAATATCCTATTTTTCTGTATAACAGGATTTATCCGAATAATTTCAAAAGACCATACGATAGCTCATTGCTATAATCCACACTCAAGTGGTGGATTAAGGTATCATGAAAGGTGGTAAGAGGATAAGGAGTCAAAATGTGGAAATCGCAGGACAAAGGAGATATTGTGTTCGTAGAAATCTCTTTTATTCTTTTGCGCGTTTCCTTTCCTTTCTAACTTATTACATTGCTGTTATACTGTACATGATCCTAATACGCGATCAAGTGTATACGATTAAAGTTCAGCCTTTACAAATATAAAAGAAATTCATAAAGAAAAATAAGAGAGATTGTAATAATAATACAATATTTATCTTCCTTCTTTTTAGAAAATTATTTAATGGTGCAAAATGTTGCTAAAGCAATTTCATAAATGTGTGTGTGTGTGTGTGTACACAAATATTACCTTGCGCTCAACTAAACTAGAAAATCGCGATAAGAGATTACTTTATTATTTTAAAATATGATACAATTCAATTATTAAGTAATATAAATTATATCTTCTTTTTGTAGAGAAGAAAAAATTTATCAAAACACTTAATAAAAAATTACTTCTATAATCTTTACATATGACTTTAACGATTCTATAAAAATACAAAATCTAAACTTTTATCTCACGTAAGAATTATTAAATACAAAGTCCAATCGAGATAATCCTTACATGTGCATTTATTTTATTCATTAATTCATATAACTTTTATTCACACATTTAACAGTTCAATTACTTCTGGATTCATAATTAATATTTGTCTCCGCAAAGTGCATAATATGATTCCGATTACTGTAAATTTCGATAGAACATGGCGAGATCTAGTGTGAAAGAAGTGAGAAGGAGGAAGGGAAAACCGAGTGCGATTACTTCCACCTGTTTTCCTCTCTTTCTCCCTCCCCTCCCTCTCTCTTTCTCACTCTCACTTTCCCTCTTATTGCTGTCTCAAGATTTCATTCGCTGCCGCTGGATCGGCGTGCCAGTCGGATTAATGTTTCAGAAATTCAATTACGAGTTCCTTGACAGCTGTCTGAGTCGAGTAGGATCCAATTAATGCTTGCGATGCGGGCGTCGTTGTTCCCGCCCTTTCTCCCCCGGGCTCGTTTAAAACATCGAACTGGAAGTACTGCGGAAACAAGTGCAATAACGCGTGAGGGAGAGAACAGTACCTTATAAAATGAAACGAAATGACAAGCAGGTTGAAAAGCTGAAGTATCTCGGTTTATGCGAAAGTCGATGCGACGGCGAAACCACATACTCCGAAGAGTGCCCGCGACAGAGGGTGAGAGGTAAAAGCATAAGAGGGTCGGCGATCGAAGGGTGATGAGAGAACAACGCTTCGCTCCACTTTCTCCATGATTTCTCGAGACACCGTGGAAAAAGTGTATGTTCCAATTTGTAGGCGCTTCGCGCGCC